TGCAGTGAAGTACTTTCACCGATTTTTCTGTTAACTTCTGGCTATGGGAGGAACGCCTATCAAGAGTCTAGCCTATTTCTCGCACAAAACTGTAGAAAGCAATTGCCTATGACTACAATTTGAAAAAAAGTGTTTTCAAATATACCTAACTTTCTGTGACCAGTGTGCGCATTTACCTTTTCCTAAAAATAGTCAGAATTTGAACTGGCTGTCTTAGTGAATGTCTAGATCACGGAGTATGTTAAGTGAACCCATTGAATTTGGTTTAGTTGAATGCGTCAATTATGTCCATGTGGTCATTCAGGCATTTGCTCTTAACGTCGGCAATAGGGCTCTTAGCATACTTTGTTTTGTCTAAGCAAAAGAAGCTTGACAGTTGTCTAAATCTGTGAACCTTAATCGGTGACTGGTATATCGGGACGTTATAGAGGTTTTTTGATAACAACATTATGCTCAAGGAGTTTTGCCGTCGAAGGCGGAAAAATGTCATTTTGGACCGTCGTAAGTACTCACAACTGTAGACCCTCAGTGGAATTTCACATTTCTGTCCACCTATCAGAGTTGATCGACACACGTTCGCTCCATTGTGACAGCGGTATAAGAGTACATTACTTTTACCCAGCAGAAATCTTGTTATTTAATCGATAATTATGGAACTTGTTTACATTTCGGCCTTATGTTTGATCAGTATACAAAACGGCTCTGTGATCCCTATACCTTTTGACTGAATAAGTTTGGCTGGCCTCTGTCAGAAAATCAGTACGCATAATGGCCTTTCATGTGTTCCAGGTCTTTGAGTACGGACAGGCGTACGTGGCTTTGTCTCGCTGCCGCAGCTTGGCGGGTTTGCACCTGCTGGACTGGAGACCAGAGTGCATTCGGGCCGATCCGGAGGTCTCGAAGTTTTATAAGAAATTACGCTTAAAACCAGGCTTCCCCAACGGTGGTGGTGCTGGTGATTAGAACTGAACTTATCAGATGTGCTCACCCATTGCATTTATATTTTTTATACGCTAGTTTTCTAATAAAGCCCACAGTGTACGCCGTTACCTCAGTTCAGTCTCATCAGGGCATCGTCGAGTGGGGCATTAGCTGTACTTAACCGCTCGTGGGAGGATCGCTGACTGATCGGGTTGGGGAGCATGTTCGTGGTGTTGCGTCTGGGGATTCATTCTGGAACTCTCTCAAACAGTCGCATAGCGACCGTAAGGATGTAAAATAAGTACCGATAAGGACAAGGAGGGCTGACATGGTCACATGTAGCTTATTAGACTTCATTAGCCACCCATACCCCAGCCGCAGGTCTGGAGGACTTGGGATTCGAGTCGAGACGCGGACCAATGAGCGTTAGGTCTAACGCTTTTCTGTATCACGGGCGTTTTCTATGCAACTACCTGCGAGGGTTCTAGATTGCGACTTAACGGGGCAAGCGTGTTTCGTAGATTGATCGGCGAACGGTCCTGCCACGATAATTATTTTCGGTCGCAATCATCAGGACAACGGGTTCCCGGCTTACTGGTAGAGTTGGCGACGGCTAATAAGCCAGGAGTAGGCATCTCAATCTACCGCGCCTTTGTTGGTTTTCCTGTGCGCATGTGTCTACCTGCATGAAATCTCTGGTCTTAAATAAGTGAAGATTCCAAACGGGACTCTTGGTCGGGATTCGCCAAAAGGTCAGATTCCACACCACGACGTAGGGAGATGGGCCCCCCAGAGTGGCACTTTCAGGTGCTGGGGTCTGCATAGAATCAGGGTGAGGGCGTCGCTCACCTGAGTCCCTCGAGGGTCAGCCAATCAGTCGAGAATGCGGAGTATGCGCCGAAACCCATGAGCAGTTTGCGGAAATGTTTGGGTAAACTTTCGAGTGGGAAAAAGGCTCGAGCGAGATTTGAGCACTGAATAGCATGGAAAATAACTTGGAGGTAATTTACGCCCAGTAGCATGCGGTTGGCCGTGCATCTTCCCAGTCATCTTTACTACTCTACCCGAGTAGGAGGCATCCCTCAGTTTTGGCGAAATTTACAAATTCCCGAATAGTTTTAAGTCTTGTCTGAAGTTCCAATTGTCTTTACATCTGCCAAATTGCACGGCGCACGCTCTCCATTTTAGGCGAATGGTACGTTCTCTACCATAGTTCTATCTGACCCTCATAACATTTAGCAGCAGATGTGGGCCGCGTTGCGTTCTCCAAAAGCGGAATTATTAAATCAGCAGGTATCATACTACCTAGGTAGAGGCTTCACGACCCAAAGGTTCCCCCTAGTTGTGAAATTTTACAACCAAAGGATAACTTTTATCCAAGTGGGAAATCTGGAGAATGACTGAGTTTTTACAAAGGGGAGATAAAGAATGGGATTGTACGCATACTTGTGCATGAAGACATCAAAAATCAACAGGGAAAGTACATACAATCTGAGTAGTTGTTTTTGGCGTGTGATTATCTCAGCCGAATAGAAGCTCATCCACAAGTCAGCAGCCTAACGCGTATGAAAGGCCTTGCGGCCACAGTCGGTGACCAACCTCAAATTGTTGACTGAGATTCCGAAATGCGTTCTCGACAAGGAAGGATTACTCAGGTGAGGTTGCAATATTAATTATCACGCAGCGCAATCCAGTAACATTTCGGACTTTCCAGAATGTTGGCTTTTGAGTGCGCGTCCTTGCGACCTGTTAATACCGCATTGGGCAAAACATGACTACATAAACTGAACGCATTCCTAACGTTGACTTCCAATGGCTTTATAAACTCGAATATACTTTATAGAAAACGGACAAAATATACTCTCTTCTACTCGCTTCGTAGCAAACCACGTTATCTTCACATTTATACTCGAAGAAAGGGTGTGTTTAGTTTTTGAAAAAGTTTTCCAAATGCCGAATAATTTATAGCTAGGTCAGCCGTTGTATTACCGTTTAGCAATTTCAGTCTGCAAAATGTATACTTTCCGTGAAAGGAAAATCATACATTCCTCTATGCCCTCGGGAAGACACCATGTATGATGAATGCGGTTTATGTTGTATACTTCATGAGGTGCATTAATAAACGAATGGACGCAGTGCTGTATGAATGGACATTGCAGGGTCTTAAGAAATATCATAATAAGGAACTTTTTCAAGACCGAAATATAACCTTTCTTCGAGTATAACGTGTGGAGAAGACGTGTTCTGCTACCAAATAAGTATAATAAAGCATATTTTGTGCATTTTCACACCTGGTTTGAATCCCGCGGAGTGGGAGTGCCATAAAGGTCATATTGAGAAGGAGCCATTGCAGCCTGACTCTCAGACCACAGCCGGCCGCTCCACACAAACACAACACTCGGCCTACTGCGAGGTCCAAGTTGTCCCGTCAGTTGGCAACCTTCCAAGATACGGCTTTTAGCACGCTGTGATAGCTTCAAGCGCGTCTGATTGTTTATAGTGTGGAAAGTGCGCTGAGTCGTCGACCTCACTCTCTCTTCCCATTCTAAGGCCCCTGTCACTGTCCGAGCCAGTCACTTGACAGGTACAGGAATGGGCGTGGTGGCTGACATATCTAATGACCTTGTCTTTGCGCGTCACACACATGACCCGGCTCCCCAAACACAAGCACCAGGATTCCACACAACCGGAGTTGGGCGGCGTATTTCTCACACGTGTGAGAGTGCCAGAGGTCACGCTAAGGAGCCGTCTTAGGCTGATTCTCAGTCCGCCATTCCACACATACGTACACAACTGGGCAGACTGTGTGGACTGAGTTGGGGCGTCAGCCAGCAACCTTCCAATCCACGGTGCTTGGCGCACCGTGATGTGTGCAGCACGCTAATCAGCACTGCAGTCCCGCTTATGCAACCTCCCTGCATGGAACCTGTTAAGATTTCAGTTAAAGTTTCACGAGTTAGGTCACCAGTGATGAGTTCTTAGGGGGCCGTGTGCATCTGTGCGCATCCCCTCGGGCAAATGTGCATGAGTCAGCACAAACATCGACACCTGACGACAACACTCACAGCTTAGGTAGTGACCTGCCTGTTGTCACATGCGCAGATGGTTATTACGATACTTAGCTAAAGGCCGACATGCCATCTAATGCGAATTAACTTTGGGTTATACTCCCCGACAAGTACTATTGTGGCCTCACTTACGTAGGCTCTTCACTTTGTATATTTAGAGGCGTCAATCGGATCTTCCCAAGTTCACCGGTATGCCTCAGACTGTCCACTTTCCTCGAACCAGGGTTGTGACGATGCTGTCGTACCAGTCGAAGGACAAAATCCAGTAGACGACCGGGCAACAGTAGACTAAATTATAGGAATCAGTGATGTAATCGCCTGGTGTTTCAGTTCGCTCCCAGACGGATCAGCGGAGATGAGAACGGATGGAGGTAGGTGATTGTGATGCAGTCACAACGTAACTGCCCCAGTTTTATTGTGAAGACGGGTTGGAATATCAATTCGAAAATTAGGACGACTAAGACTCTAGCTTCATCAATCGATTCTTAATCTCGACTTGGTCCTAAACCAAGATCTACTAGTTGTCCGGTGATCTATCGTATCATGAAATGCGAGAACATGCTTACGGCCTGTGACCGATCTCATGAAAGGTTAACAGAAATTCTGAAAAGCGCATTTCATTAGGAAGGATTGCTTGAGTGGGGGTTGTACTATAGATTACCCTGCGACCCAACGACGTGATATTTCAGACATGCCAGTATGTTGATTTGTGAATGCACTTCTTTTTGACCGCCTGCAATGATCGCATTTATTCTACTTATTTCCAGTGTCTCTATAAATCAAAATATATTTTTTGGAAAAAATCATAAAAATTTTCTCTCTTGCGCTCGGTTAGTTACAACTCACGTCTTCTTAGGATTTTATACTCTAATAAAGGACATCTTTTGGTTGTAAAGAGTTTTTTTCAACTACGGAGTAATTTTTTTCTGGAGGAACTGACCGTTGCAACTTCATTAAAATCGACACAGAAGACTGAACATTTTTAGAAATGGCTATACAGTTGCTGACAATTTACTCAATTTCATAGTGAACCGAGTGAATTCGGACATACTGATCAAGCAAATCGGCGGCCTCTTCTTTGCCATCTTTTTTGTAAATTTTAATCAGTGTCTGGTATGTGAACAGCTCCAGGAGACTGTTTGTCTGTTGACATACCCCTATGAGGCTTTCACCGTCGCTGACCTGGTAACTCTCGGGATCCTTCAACACCTCCAATATGGCCGGATAACCCTCGTGGGCGAAGGCCTCCGTGAGCAGTACCTTAACTATCATCATGGCCTCTTTCTCTTGTCCCATTAGCAGATAACATCTTGCAATGTAATTCTTCATTAGAACGATGATATTGTCACATGAGTGAAGCGCCTTTGAGGCCTGTTCGAGGCAAGCGATGAGCAAATTTGCAGCCTCATCCACCTTGCCAAGTTTCAGCCAGCAGCTAGCCACATCCGTTCTGATTGCCCAGGTGACTGGTCCCTCGACATTATCCTTGGCCATTTTTATGCTGAGGGCTTGCTTGAACTGCGCTATGGCGTCCTGGTACTTCCCGTGCAGACGCAAAGCCTTACCGTAACCGCGGAGTACGGGAACACAACAGGACGACTCGTTACCCTGAGCCTTCGTCATTGAATTGAGAGAGCTTTCAAAATACTTACAGGACTCCTCCGCTTCCCTCTGTCTGAGGGCAGTTTCTCCGAGAATGTACTGGAGCAACGCCCCATCAGTAGCCGACAATTTTCCACCCTGACTCTTATTGCAGAGGGACTTGGCAGTGTCGTATCGGCCAGCATTCACATACTTTAGGGCCAGCGGATAGAGCGCCTTGAAGGAGGCTGTGAGTACGGACAGAATGTTGTTGTCAATAGCTAAATCAGCTTCCACGGAATTACTGACCATGATGGAGTCACCCTTGGCCATATCGCTCTGCCTGATCTGGCACAGGAGGAGGTAACGTTGCATGTCCGCATCGGCTGCCGCGATTTTCTCCTGTAAATTCTGAATGCGCATCTTGAAAACTTTATTCTCCTTGATGTGCCAATCGTTTTCTTCAGTCAGTCGGGCAGTATTTAGCGATATATTTACATACTCTAGTTGGAGGTATGTAATGTAGGTGCTGGCCAACTCCAGCATGGTACACTCCTGCAAGGCCAGATCAATCTTTTCGGAATCCTCGTCTAGGGCAGCCATCTTGCGGTAGGCGCCAATCTTGTCACTCAGTACACTAATGTCAGTGAACTCTTCTGCCCCATCATTGTAGGCGCCAACTCGGGCGTCCTCTAGGCAGCGAAGATGGAATTGTATGGTCCGGAGGTCCTTCAGGAATTTCTTTTGAGAGATTAATGGGGCAGATGAGACGGTGGACATAATGCCAACGTCCACAAGTTCAGGACTGACCCACGCTTACCGCACAGTACTGGTCTATCGATTTTTCGAAGCCACGTTCAATATGGAGCCCGGTGGAACGGAACAGCTACTGCGAGTGCAAGACGTAGTTGAGTTTTATTTCGCTGGGCGGCCATAGAAAAGTGGGACCCAGGGATAAAAGCGACGATAGAACCGTGGCAGGAGGGGACATGCATAATCGAAGGCCGAACATGATTAAGTCGAAATAGGGAGGAGGACGATTTAAGACCAGAATATCTCAGTCAGCAGAGAAGGGTGGGAGATCGGTTACTGCGCGTCCCTGCTCACAATTCCGTCACTCATTCAACAGTGACCTCGCGTCGCCTCGTGGTCAGTGGCTTCAGATGCGGATTCTTTGCATCTCTTCTGCTGGTTTCGCGAGTTCTGCAAAGCAGACTGCGGATGCGTCCCCGCAGTTCACTGTTTCTGTCGTCCTTTGTGATGCATAGTCCAGTGGAGTAGCCCTGGAAGGCAACGAAGAACGGACATGCCCTGTTATCTGTGAAGATAATTTCCCAAACTGTCCAAAAGATGCTGGGCATGCAAGTCCTGAGATTAATAACCCGCCCACTTACCTCTTGGTGGTATTAACAAAATGCACAATAGGTAGGCAATCTAATGTTTTTTCTGCCTTTCGACACCCAAAAGTTTTTCTCAAAAACCCTCTTGCAAACTGAGATTGTTAAGAACCTTCATGCATTAGAAATAAAATGACAGGCAATCTCTTAAGAAAATTTGACAGTCCGGAATTTTGACGGAACAGATTTACGAGGGCACACTATTGTGCGGATATGAACTCGCACGCAACAATAAAAGGCATGTCGCCGGAAGTAGTTGATCCCACGATTGTGTGAATAATCGTTATTCCTATATCTCGCTCTGATGATCAACCTAGCACAGTCTGAGCAGCTTGTCTGCAGAGGTTGCAAATAAAAACTTTTAAACGCAGAAGATAGGTAATTGCAAAGGGAAAACTCGACACAATCCTCTATTGTGACGTCCATACACCCCAATTTTAACACACAGAAGGTTTTAAGGGCAAATTAAAGGAATCGGGGAGATTTCTCGCCGTGCGATCGACCTATGAGCGAATAACGATTATTTACATAAACGGAAATAGCGTCGTCTGTAGACGAACGAGACAGCACTCAGCACGAAATCGGGAAGTCGATTGTTTGACTCCGTTCGGCGCGTAACTTGTTTTCTGGCTGTGCGAGTTCCTCTATTTCTCATAGCCTGTCCTTTTACATTTCATGCTGTTTATGAGCTAGTTTGGTGAAAAACCACCAACAGCATGCAAATATTAGTTCGAGTCATTGTTGACACGTAAAAGGACATGGGTCTGCGACTGAGCAAAAAGAATTCGGAATAAACACAGCAAAGAATGCGTAGATTTAAAGTTTTTGGGCACCACTGACCGTAGCAGACCAAATGCTCAACTTGCGAAATTTACTCCGAGGGAAAGCAATGCTAAAGATACAAACATTGCTTATTTCTTTTCCTGTAAGTAATACGTAGACAAATTAAAAAATATTCATGGAGGAATGCTAGAACAATGAGCATCCCAAACTATGAAGTCACGTCAATTTTTCATCCTATATTTTAATCCAGGAACAGTTTTTGATATGACCGCAAATCCCGTTTGATTTTAACTAAATCGATTATAATGCTGTTGAAAACGTATTCACTAAATTGGATCACTTCAGTTAACATCAGAGTATTACCAGTCTCTATTCAAACACTACTCTCCGGAAGAATGATTGACTGCCCGAAGTCACCCTCTTGGTCCCAAGCCCATATAAAAGTCAACGTATCGGACTTCTAAAAGGTCTGACGGTTAAAAAGAACACAATTTGAAACACGAAAAGAATCCCCTTTAAATTTAACGAAAGGGGCTTGTCGCTTGATGAACAGTAAATTTTTCTGAGTGCAGACGCCAACGGTTATTATCTGCACGAACTAAAATTATCGCTTTCAAAATTTGGTATTTTTAGCACTACATTAACTTGTCTGTCAGCCATGGATTTCACAGTCAGTATTTTTGTTTCACTTAAGACTACTTCCTATCTAAAAGTTGGTGTTTTGTTGATGTCATTTGCCAGGAGACCAAGTGCAGGATGCTGGACCCTTGAACATGTTTAGAATGGTAAGGAACTGCTAGGGTTTTCCTCGATTGTTCTTGGATAAAAAAGTTGAAAATTAACCTGGTTCCAGGGCCACTAACATCGCCCTTTACTGTACTTTTTCGTATAAATGCACTCGGCGGAAAGCAACTGCAAAGGGATTTAAGGAAAAAATTATAAAAAATTAAGCGTACCGGGACGAGTCTTGGGTCAAAATCACTCAAAATAGCGCCGTCGCCAGCACCATGTGGACGCTGAACAGAGGTCAGGCATGGCAACCTAACACAACATAGTTAGTACCAACGCAAATACGACTACCGTGGTACGAGTTCTTCGACCTTTGCTTCAACGCGATCCTTTACAACTCCGTCGCCTTCCTTCATATCTAAACCCGAGTAGCGATCGATCAACAGGCGATGCTTTGCCATTTTGTCTTGAATATCCTGCAGTGCCGATCGCATTTCTTTAAAACCGGATGCGGACTTGGTTTCGTAGTCGAGAATGCCATCAAGCCGGCTCTGTAATGAATGTGAAACAGAGATCTGCTTTATGCAACCATGAGGCACCTCAGTCGATTATCATGAGTCCCAGATTTTATCAATGATTTTGACAATGAGGCGGTGCTAGTAGGGACAACTTGTACACAGCCAGAAATAGCATATTGTTCTTAAAAACCGTGCGTTATTCCTTAACAATCATTTTGAAATTAAGCAATTCAAGACTGAAGGAAACCAGGACAGAATCCATCCGCACAGTTAACAGTTGAGAAGAAGGAGCTCTCCACGGCAGTATCCTTCCAGAGATACAGTTACCGAGCTGTTGTAAATACAACTTTTTAAAATTCCTGGTTATGCATGTCCGGTCTGTCAAGTGGAGTTGTTTTTTTCGAGTCTCAGCTCCAATCTTTCGATGACGAGGACAAAAACTGTTTCGCCCGCATTTAACATGGTTCGAACTTTCATCCGACCCCGGAATGCAGGCTCTATTAAGAAGACGATCTGGCAACTTTACAAAAGCATCAAAGCACACCTTCCAATGAGGATGGGAAGGAGTGAAACAAAGACCGCCTCCAGTTTATTCTTAGTCCATCCTAGGTCAACGGGTGGAAGCGGACCTGGTCTTCCATCTGTTCATGGATTGTTACTCACAATTACCGTAGTGATACATCTTCGCGATAACCGAAATGATGCTTTTACCGCGGAAAATCAGATTCCTTACGCGCAAAAGTATTGAACACAGATTTTTTTACAGATAGACGGTACTAAGGACAATATTACAGCTAGTGGCATTAGAGTTTCGAGGCTGGCCGCAAAAGTTATCCTAAACGATTGACTTCAATTTCTGTATTTATTGATTTCAAAAGGTTTGCTGGCGAGTATACGCGGACTTTCGATAAACTCAGTACAGTACATTCACATGGGATCGGGGTAGAAGTAAAACATGAGAGTGATGAGAGAAATCAAATTCAGTTCGCCTTTTCACACAAATAGCATGTGGTAAAAAGGAAGATGCGGAAGAGATAATAACAGAAACGCAATCTTGATCGTTGCTTAGCGCAAAGGACTTGAAAAAATCTGTCCGGCAGACAGCATCGGCGAGGAGCTTAGAAAGATCCAAGACCTGTTTTGCTAGAACGGATACTTCGATACTTCGATCGGGAAGAATATTACAGGGAGACCCATAAAACGCATTGCACTGGCGGCGGAAATGACAACTCTGTTCCTTAAAATCACTTTTTAAGGGGATGAAACGAGTGAACTCATTAGAAGCAGGCTTGAAGGACTCTTCCACGAACCTTCCCAGGGGGAAGATTTCGGGCATCATTCTCGAACGATCCTGTTTTGTCCGGAGAAGGTAAGGATAGGCTACCACCTCAGACCACCTGCATGTTCAATTACTCCTTTATTGTTTCTGTGAGGCAGGTTATAGTAATCGTCTGGGTGGGCGCCTATCTGGACGAATACGCGATTACCTCTCCTTATGGTCGAGAAAAGACGAAATTAAAGCATAAACAGGACCAGTTCCACACACACTGTTGGTTCTGGGAATCTAATGGATCACAACAAAGTTTTCCATATGATTTAAAAGGTCCCACCGTACTACCCTAAGCCACAGGGTCAGCTTCTGCTAGCAACAGCGGAGGCAACTGCCATCAGATTACGAAAAGCAGTCTTGCGCGCACTAAAGAACCTGGTACAAGCTCCATTCCTACCGTGACCAAAGGCCGGTTACCTGCGTGCACTCCTCCGAGTTCCGCCCTTCCTACCAACTCATTGCCTCCTAACTCACTGTCGCTTCTTCCTTCTCCGCTGTTCCCACACCCAACGTTTATGAAAAGACAAACTGTAATTGATTTCTCGTATCCCTCACATGTTTTACTTGTACCCCCTTGCCATATACATGTACAGATCTTATGGGGTTTGTCGAAAGCACGCATATGTTCTGTCCTGCATAAATATTTCTGCAAAAGAAAAACAGTCAGTCGAGAAATTCTGGATGAAAAAGTAGAACAATGCTCATGAAAAACTGACCTCGATTTCCCGCATCTTCCTTCGTGTGCTTCTTTTTTCCTGCGTGTCCGCCTCGAGCGTGGTGGGTTTGGGATTTTGGACGGTTTCCGAGACCTAAAAGTGGAACAAGTTTTCCTTCACAGGTCATAATCCTTTGGGCGCCAATCAAGCTAGATTTATTTACGCATACCGAATACATCGAAATCGAGAAATCGTTTGCTTAAATCCCAAAGCCTCCCTCAGTTTAATTAAAATTTATAATTAGCCTTTTTATGTGTTTACAGAGTGAACAGGGCCTTATGCGAGCTATGCACAGCGCTGTTTCAGCATCGTCTCGAACAATTTGAGAGAGCCAGTCGGGGGTCAGACGACCGGCGCGAGACATCGACCCACCGACGCGCCCAAACAGCTGAACGCGATTCACACATGCAACGGCAACTGATCAGTCCATCAGGTTGTGGGGGGAAAAAGTTTCCGAGACGTCAGAACCATGGACTCGACTCTTTTTCTTCTTTGTCTTCTTTTGGGGATGATGAACGGGATATATATATGCGGAGGGGAGACAAAGGAGATTGGGACGGCCATTTCTGACTTGTTAACCATCGTCAGCCGCCCTAACCCAACTCCAGGTTTTAGGGCACTTGAAGTTCGAAGCCATGATGTTTTGGTTATTGTACTTTAGTAAGTCTGTGTGCAGTTCAGTTAACTTAAATGTAACGGACAACACCTTTGAAGACCACCTCTTCGGTTTTATCAGTCTACCACCGTTATTGCAGCTCAAAGGCTTTAGGACCCTGTAGGTGGATGCCTATCTGCAAGCTATGTAATCCCCTTGGCCATGTTCGGACATTGTCCGCCCTGGAGAGACATGCCAATCAGTGTTAAACTATCCATATGCAGATAGGGCGCACGCATAAAAATAAACGTCTTACAATTTTCCGCGAAATAGGTGGTGGGACGGAACCAGCGTGGTAGCGGGAGGTGAAAACCTGGAAGAGGAAAACGTAAGGTTTAAAAAAGATTTTAGAAGCAACTTGCACAAAGCGCTGTTGCATTCGTTGGGGCACGCCAATGGCTTGCCTGTCCGAAATGGCGCAAATCAAAGGAAGCGTAAGCACATTTAAACCAGGGTTTATGGAAGTTCCGCGGTTTTAATTGCCGTCAGGCTGGGATATTGACTGAACCGGTGCCCCAATAAATTTCGGAGGGAACATATTGATTACGCATTCACGCAGGCTCCGACCAACCACAGAGTCACATGGTAGACACAGTTAAATTGTCAACTGTTTTTGTGCATGACTCATATGTCCGACCACGTGCTGGGTAACCAGTGTCGGAAACTTACGCAATATTTTATTTCAAAAGGACATCACCTATTTTAAATACATTAAACTATAAACGGTCACTCAAACATAAGGTGAAAAGTACAAGAGGTCAGGAGTGTGTGCACGTGCGAAGGCCAGACCCGTGCATTCACTGCCCATGCTGCAGCGAAAATGCTGGGAAGCTGCCGTGAACTTCCTCACTAGAAGGTTTCAACAAATGCGATTGACAGGCTATAGTAAAGCAGGGACATAAATTAAAACAAGTGTTAAAAGGTGCATTCAGGGGTTGCCGATCGGATGGCCGGAGCATGCGATAGAGACAGCGTACGTCAAGAAGTAGTGGAGTTTTGCTTAGGTAGTTGATGAAGGGTCGAAAAGATGCGAGTCGATTTGCAATGATTCAGGGAGAAAAAAGATCTTTCGGAGGGACCATGTTCGCTGGCAGGACGCCCACTTAGGTAATTCCGCACAAATAATACAGCCAACCGGGCAAAATCGTAAGCGAAGGTAAACATGGGGCAACAGTATTGAGAAGGACCCTACTTAGCTGTCGGTCGACTGTGAATCCTGTCATACGCCATTGGTGATAAAAGGAGTTTTGCGGGTGGGGCAGCACACTAGACAGTAAGCTGATGAAATGCAGGAAAACACAGAAATTGTTTGGATTTCTGCTGAAAGACGCATCGTACGAATTTTTACGACAACGGAAATGAACGTGGTAATTAAAGATAAACAAAAAAGTAAATTTCAAAAAAGGGAGTTTGAGTGATGATTTGAAGTCATGGCAAGCGATTGTTGTTGGCAGTCTAATGTATGCGAGACCTGTGAATGGATGCCATGATAGAAGCCCATATGACTTGATCCACAGTCTGCCGTCAGTTAAGCGGGGTCCTTCTCCATACCGTTGCCAAATATGGAAGTACTACACAGAGTCCTTCGCGTGGTGCCACTGTAATGCAGGTAAGAGGGTCCGTGGAGGCCCTCAACGCGCGGCTGGCACTGGGTCTGCACGTGCGTCCCCCGAAATGGGGATGTTGGCACGCATGATTGGGCATGTCTCACGTGACAGCCAGTCAGCGTCAGCTTAGTGAGTATATCGGATGATCCTAGGTCTCGAGAATGCCCGCATACACTGCATACACTACACAAAAACCCCGATCGCGTGAAACCTGATGTGACGTATGTGACAGGGACGGGGTGCTTATAGGCGTTTGGGGTGCTGCAACTGGTCCCAGATACTGAACTGCGGTCAATGAGGAAATGATTGGTTTCATACAGTTCACTAGTGGGTTGGAGAGTGTGTCGCTTGCGAGGGGTGGGCGGGGTATCAGTTAGAGAATTGGCTGATAGGAACTCGTAAACATGTCCCGTTGGGTTGGCATGTTCCTATGAGAAGCAGGGGTGCGTTCGACGCAGTGCCTGCTGGTTAGTGCTAAACCAGGTTACTGCGTTGGGGATGAGATTCAGTGCCGTCCGAACTCCGAAGTAAAGGCTTGTCGAACTTTGGGAGTTTTAGCGAGAGGGGAAGAGATTTGAGTTGAAGATCTGGACGGAGGTCATGAGAGATGATGCCAGTGATCGTATCAACAAGAAAGAGCACGAAAAGAAAGAGAACTTTCTGTGCTAACATGGCTGAAGTACCGTTTTCGCAGTTGATTAGGAATCTAGAGAGTGTCATGTACTAAGTAAACCTTTCTTGAGGTGCGCTCAACCGCGTTTTCTGTTGAACTTTATGATGATTTGGCTCAGTCAAGTCAAGTGGTTGCCATTTGATTACGTAAGTTTCACCAATTCGGCATTAGTTAAGGCCAAGGGCAAACCACAACTACTACGAGCATCCGGCCAGGTATCCAATAGGAAAAGTTGAACGTCAGCAGAGGGAGTATTGTGTTCTGCGCAGAATGAATAGAGAATAGGTTTATTTGGGGCCGGTTGGCAGTCAAACGTACGGCGCGCGTACGGTACCCGACGGGACAGGCGTTCTAATGCTTTGAGTGAGAACATATCTGCCTCGACCCTAGAGTTGTTTGGCCAGTTTGGGTGGCTTCGACTTACCGTGTCGGCAATCAGCCAGGCGAGATGTCAGCATTATAGAGAGTCCCTGTGTGTCAGACAGAGAACTTCCACCGGTTCGTAGGTGAAAGCAAGCACCAGACAGAAGCAGGGTGCAGCAATAGACGCCAGGAGTTGAGTCACTACAAACCTTGATCTCAGCACCGTTTTCCATACGTGTTGGTGTTTCTTCTAGGAATTCAGTGATTGAAGCACAAACCTACTGGACAGTGACTAGCCCCTCCATGGAATGTCATTTTATTTGGAGAAATTAAGGAGTTGCCGCTATCCCCCTCAGAACAACGGATGATGCAGATAATAAAACAGTTTAATTTCGTTAAATTCTTCTATGCGTCCCTACCTCTGAGGAAACAGTCCTGCAGTAGCCTTCATGATGAGTTTTGATGGAACAAACAGACGCATCGGACGTTAGAGTCTTCGTCATTTTATCAGGGCTGCTTTGTAAAGAATGAGTTTTCGTATCGAACTAAATGCTGTCAAATTCTGTTCCACGAGACCGACGAGATGAGAACCCGTTTGACATAAAGTGTATAAAATTAGTGGACAGTTATAGTCTGCGAAGGGTATGCTTCCGCGTGGTAGTCTGGTACCAAAAATGGCCTGAACCAGGACAGCTATAATTCTTCCGCTTTGAAAGCTTTGTAGCTTTCAGGGACATTACTGTTCGAGTCAGACCGTTTGTGCGTTTAGTTTAATCCATCTGACCTCATTTTCGAAGCAGCGTTATTTTTACGAAGTCGACTTTATTAAGAATATAAGTTTCGAAAGTTCTGGCATATCTGCTGCCTAGGACACAGCGTGGTAAGGAGGTGCCGAGGGGTCGGCGTAGATACAACGGCTGACAGGCAAGTACTATTTACGTGTTCGCAAAACGGGTAGGTTTAATGAGAAATTTAGGATTTAACTTCTCCGATAAAGCCCACAAAGCTGGCGCCATAGACAGCAAATGGCTTATGCTCTGCCAGCTGTGCCTCTACTAAAAATCATCACTGACTGAATGGAATTAGGTTTTAAAGACAAAAAACCAAATGCCACAGTCAGCGTACTTTAAAAGAAATATCGAAAACAAAAACAAGCCAAAGTTTTGCAAGTAGACGGCGCTGACGGTCGGTTGGACTTTTACCGAAAACTCTGACAGATGCCTTTGATGTAGGAATCGTTATGCACTCCCGGTCGATCTAACTAAAACACTGAAGTGTTATAATATGCTTTCCAAAACGGCCACATCAGTTTCAAGGAGCAGTTTTGCCATTCAGCTACGATCTTCTCTTTGGGGGATGTCGACTCAGTTCAACGGAAAATGGTTTTATGTACAGTAAATCCACAGACAATAGAACTGGGTGCGTATTTATCAGTTCTTCGAAGCATGCTTATTTTTGGCCTATCCGATGCCAGAATTATGACGGTAATCGGGATTCGCACTCACCTACGCAAAATATTGAAAATGGCTGTTCAACTGGGAAGATATTTTTCTCCTCATAGATAAGTAGCCGAACCGACAGCTCGGGTCCCTCCGATTGGATGAAGAAGTACCTAAGAAATTTGCCGACAAATCGTAGACAAGAAGTTTGGAGGATCTAACTCCACACACTACATAACTCAAGAGAATACCAAGTTTTGAACGCGCGTCTGACCGGTATGGGGTGTGAATGGGTGAGGAAAATGAGGAAAACAGAAACAAAGACGCTCCCTGTCTTTATATTATTACGTGTTGCTATGCCAGAGGAACGACTGGGCCTAACAGTCCCGAGGGGCAGTTAAAACCTACTGAAAAAGGTCAAATGGTAGCAGTATGGCCAAACTCAAGGACGACGTCTGCTTAAAAGAGGAAACATCTACGAGTGACAGAACTTATTTTAAAATGGCTCTATTAAAAAAATATGTGCCATGACCGGGAAAATGAAATGGTGCCATGTTTTAGCGGTCGTCCGGCAGCAGAAAAATCAAAAAAGTGTGCGAGAGGAAACAAAGATTCACGAAATTAAAGTACACCGACGAACAAACACAAGCGAAGATGAACTGAAACCATAGACGGATAGAGAACGCCGTTAGTCATTCCGAGACAGCAAATGAAACTAAATGGGGGGTGGGGGAGGGGCGGAGATAGAGGAAATTGCGACGTGAGCGGAACGTGCGGACGGGGCGACTCCTGCCTGGGGCGGCCCCTCCACTCCCACTCATTCGAGCACACCGTTCTAGGGTTGACAGGGGCGGGCTTACCTGCGGCGACGCGCGATCGCTACTGCCTGTCGGTCTAAGAAATCGGGACTTGGGTGTTGGCGACCTTGGCACTTTTTCGGCTAGCGGCTGTGCATGGGAAGATGTCCGAAAACTTTGTTTGAGCAAAAAATCATAAACCATTTTAAGGATTTTATCAGAGTGTTAGGCCCGAACGCAACTGCCACTTGGATGGGTGGCCACATTCTTCCCGTTAAAATTCCTTATAACTTGGTCATATTCCCAGTCAAACTCTCGGGGAAGCACAGGGGCTTAAATACGATGTTTTAACGTGTAAGTTAGATTTTTTTCCGTTATAAGGAGGGGCGGATTGCCGACAAATTGAGACAGAATAACATTACCTACAGAGACATGGGAGACCAGAATGCAATTTCTGGCTTACCAGCTGCCTTCAGCCAGCCCTACCCAAGCCCAGATTATGTAAACGCTGAGACTCGATCCCGTGACTTGTTGGTTAGAAGTCCAACGCCAGAACCATTAAGCTACGAACTTGTTATCCTGTCGGTTGCGAGCGGACATATACAACGGTAGGAATGCCCTCACCGATGGCCCCAAAGCACAACAGAGTGCGTGTCCCGTAGGGCGATCGGTGAGCACCTCTCGATCATCGAAAAATTGAGGCCTGAGGTAGTGGTTTTAAGTGGTCTTTGGAGGTCAACTCGAAGTAACGATAGTGACCGACCCCCCCCCCCTCGCAAGTTGACGGCTTGCACTGCGCCTGATCTGGCCCTGTCGTGGCGACATTTCGTTGCCAATCGACGCTGTGCCCTTTGCTGATTGGTCGATGAGGTGCAATCCCCATCTTGTGCTGGCGCAACAACATCAATGATTGGCACCCGGTTTACTAGAACTTTTACCGCTGCCGATTCCTGAGCAATTTGTACGCTCCCTTGTTTCAGTAACTGGTGCCCCCTAACTATGTCTCCTTGACTTTTGATTTGGGATACCCCTCCTTTTCGACACATCCTACTTGGAAAAACAAACTAGCAAGCTTTACTCACTCGCCAGTCAGTGTAGAAACCATAGGATCACGACATTTTCTCCGTAACTAAACCAACCTTTTATGTTTGTGGTGTCATAAACTTTAGGAAGCGCAAGTTGTAAACCCCCAGTTGTCTTACGTTTCTGGTCGCTGTTCGCTGCAATTAGAGAACTACTGCGACTGGCATGCCCGAGGGCTTTTCTCGGTTTCTTAGGAGGGCAGCTGCAAAAACTAACTGAGTGATGCGAAAAAATGCATCTGCTTCCACTGAAACCAATGTAACTTCAAAATAACGGTCCTTTCGGGTGAGTATTCAAAATACGAAGACTTCTCAGTCAGAGTCTACAACTTCTGTGCAAACTTCTTGAATGCCCGATTTTTTAGGGAGACACTTCTCTTCCTTAGATTTTGAATCGGATATTATTGGTAGTTCTTTTGTATCAGAAAGTACTGTTACGCCAACGAGACCTGAATACTTTGCCTCGCCGTTCTATTCAACAGTATAGTCTGAGTACTTGCATTTCTAATAATTTTATTTGTAGGCATACATTTCTCTTTTAAAGGTTGCTAAACACTGCTCTCAGCTCCTAAAACTATCTTGCCCGATTTAACCGTGTAGGACTGCATTCACTGAATTCTTTGGTTCTACGTGAAGGGAAGTATTTATATCGTTCTGCAAGCACAAGAATTCACCGTCTATCGGCCGACCCTCCTTAATGCGATATATAAGGGGGAAACTGCATTAATCATTTTGATGTGGAAGGGGCACAAATCGAATCACTGGCATGAAAGTAGATGGAGCGAACTGTTCGCTCACCCTAGTGTCCCGGCCGAAGGACTCCAGAGCTTCGATTTCCTCCAGCACGCTACGTGGTGGCATACCTAAGGATCGCCGTCGTCGACCTCCATTAACTGACTTTGGAACTGTCGGCGGAAGTTCCTTGCGTAGCAAAATATTCAAAATTTAAGAAAGGGGAACTAGAAAAGGTCGGAAGCGGGCGGGAGTGTTAACAGCAAATTTCTTCACAGCACAGCAAAGTGCTGCAGAACATAGTTTGAACTGCAACAAGGGAAAAAGTGAAATGAACATATGCACATAGGTGGGTGGTTGACAGAAGGGAATGTGAAATAAGTACCAAATGAACTCTAAAAACTTCTAACTTGAAACGGAGGGCCTTTACCATTCACAGCTTCTGTAAGTATGGTGTCAGAAGGGCTCAATTTGGAAGTTTCCACAAGTAATTTTTAACAACGCGATAAGCGAAACGCCAGTCCGTAAATCAGACACGAGAGTGCACATTATTGAGTAATTTAAAGCATATCATGCATAACTCGAAATAAGTTGAATTGCTTAAAATATTACATGCGTGCGAAACAATGCGCTGACTTAATAAAAGTCGATCACAAATAAAACCGGTATTAATGCTAATAAAAATCTTTCTGCCGCTACGTAACTGCAGCATGAGCTTGAAAAATATTTTCAAGACCAAACTGCAGTTGGATTCCTCAGTGTTTCTGATCCGATCGAATGGTCGCTCAAATACCCTTGCCCAATTAAGAATCATCATAAATAATTAACTGACGGTTGACCTGTAGTTAGAGATTGGATGAAAAAGAGCTACTCCGCTTTTATCTCCACGAAACAAAGCAAGGTCTGTGTGTGTATATAAACACAGAAAGAGTTCTTCACAATTAGTTTGAGCAACAAACTGATGGATTTGTAACCAGTTTCCTCTTAGATGTACATCCTTGGCAGTTAAATTAAGAAGTACTGCGCCCCCTGAACACAAGGGTAAGTATTTAAGGACTCTGTCGTGAAAACGGTGGTATTGAATGATTGGCGGCGTTAGCTTCATACAAGATGCGAATTGATTCAGTCGAAAGGCGTCTTCGGCGAGGTTTATTTCTGTAGCCCGACTTCATTTGTGCCCCATGATCACCTTCCCAAAACGATTTTAGTAGATGCGAACACGTCGACCTTACGAATATCACGTGTTTGCACCTTCCTTGCCTCTTTAATACAGCGAGTGACTGTGCCAGGGGAGGAGCAGTGCTGATACGCCAGCCTCGGTTACCTTAGGTATCAGTTCGCACGCGCTTCCCTGTGCGTGCTTCGAGTTCCGATTGCCTCCTATTTATTATACTAATCCAGCGAGTAGCTAAGTGGGCTCGCTAATGGAATTGCTCGGATGGATTGGAACTCCGTCGGTTCCATTACCATGGCCATGAACTGCAAATCATCACGCGGTTCCCTTCGTGACCTTCTGACAGTTCGACCGTCGATTCCAATGATGCCCACTTTGCACTACACAGCAAGGTGCAGCCGGCACGGTGACTTGCGCGTGACTTAGTTTATAGTGATATCAGACTTGCGCAGCATCTGCCACACCCTCTCTTCCTCACCACCGGCCTGGACCCGGTATCAAGACAGAGTTAAAAAGACCAGAGGCGGGAGAGGGCCTAGGTGGCTGGCATGGCCGGACCTAGGCGTGTCACCGGACTCCCTGGTCGACAACATACACTTGACTAGGATTTTTCACCAACAACAACGACACCCCAACAGGAGTCAGAAGGACGAGGATGACTGGGCAGCCATGTCCGCCACCTGTATACCCAGCGGCAGCGCAAGCGCATCTACCGGCAGGGAACCAGGTGTCAGGGAACTGTCAGCGCATACCAAGCTGCGAGGGCCATGGTTTGCTGATACTGGCATAGCACACGCTTCCAAACCTTTTGACCTTTTGTTGCGGTGAGAGTGTGTACACTCCATCTTCACGCGCTTGCCTGTGCGTGCTTCGAGCTCTGCATGCGCCCTCTTCCCCCCCCCCCCCTAATCCAGCGGTGTCTAAATAAGGTATGCCAACTAAAATTGTTTCAGGAAGCTAACCATATGGCATCAATAAAGTGCGGCTGCAAAATCAAACCTCGCCGCGTCCTCCTTTTCAGGCGTTATTCATGCCATTTAACCAAAGAACAAGGATGTTTCTGCCAAAGCACGTCTACGATACCGGAGCTTGTCCTAGCTTTCGCAGTTCCTTACTGTGCTCAAGGACTTTGTAGCGAATCTCTTAAATAGAAAATTGGTGATTCATTTACCAAAAATGAACGATAGAACCGGAGAAGAATATTGTATGTAAATGATAGGGCCAAAGGCACATTTTTACCAGTTAGAAGTCCGCTATGAAAGCGCTGAAGTGTAGTCAATAGAATCGGTTGAACAGTTTAAATGGGGTCGGTAGCCGTTTAACCAGTCCGCTTGTTGTTGGGTGGTTTAACAGCAAGGATCGCGGTCAATAGTCATGTAATAACTTTATTCGGTTTTCGCTCCTCTGGAACTTTCTAGGTCATCCTAACCCGTTCCATAGTTTTTTTTTGCCGAATTTTGGTTTTTTTTCTGGGAAAAATAGAGAACTTCGAGTTCGCGAATAGCCTAATTGTAACGAACTGCACGACGAACAAAGTGCTTCTTGTCAGAAGGTGAGTGGAATCGTTGTGTCACAAACACTGTTGTAAAAAATCGCCCTTCCGCATTTGTCCATACTGACATCGATTTTGGAGTGGCGGCCTTTGGCCTTCTTATAATAAATGAGAGGGAAAAATATTGAAATCGTTAAATTATAAATTTATTTTAAAGATTTTAATGGTGGAGGGCAAAGCAGCGCGGAATTTCTTCAAGTGGCGAGTTACATAGGACTGAAACGTCTGCTCGGAAGATAAATAACAAACTCCACAGCAAAGCCTGGGGATCAGAACCTCAAGTTCTGTGATTTGTAATGCTTACATAGGAGCACAAGTTCCTTCCAAAGGTCAGTGGGTGCAAACATGCCATTAGGTGTGCAGGCGACATACAGTGCGAACTACGGCATATTTCACATGAAATAGCAGAGTAGAAATTGCACAAGGATAGGGGGAGAATGAAGCATACATTCAAATTATCGGAGTTTTATTTGGGGAATTCAGACAGTATGTCGTTTTTTATAAACGCTTGACTCCTGATATAAGCAGCCTGTTAAAATTGGGATTCCAGGACATATGCAAGTCGAGCGCTACCTTACGAGGTCGCAATAAGTTTGCTTGTGAGGTATGTGAAACTTACGCATGAAATGGCGGCACCTTAGCTGCCAGTTGTTTATTGGCTGATTGTGTGTTAGGTGCCAAAGTTAAGCAAAAAATATTAAAATGACGTCGGACTCCGGACTCCGAAAAATGTGCTTTGGCAAAGAACGATAGCACTCGAGCGCGCTAGGAGGCGTTCAGGTTGAAATGCAGATGGATTCTTCGTAGAACTGCATAGAGTTTCATGTTATTTTCACAAATCATACGTTCAAAAACTAAAATAATGGAAAGTTGTCCTTTCTAATATCTGGTTAATATTTGTAAGTTCATAGCCCATCGTAAGCCGATGCCAAAGTAAATGAGGTAAAAATATGTACCATTGCCATATCGATTTGTTTAAGCGCTGCCTCATCCTTTTGCTTGGCCTTGTTCCTTGTTGAATCGCAGCTGTCTAGGAAGTCAGAGGTGACCTGACGAACCCGGGAGCGCAGCCTTTCAATCTCCCCGTCATCAACTAGCGAGAAAAAAAACATATTTTAAGGCCTATTTAACCGTCAAAACAACGTCCTCTCCCAATGCCTACTTCCAAAGCTTACCGTCAGTAAACGAGATAATTTGGTGCATTTTTGCCAAAAAACATCGCAAAGGAATAGTTGTATGATGCTGGAGGACAGTAGATGGTCGTTCAGTCTACAGAAATGCAGGACTTCCCGAAATTATGATCTAAAACTTTGTAAACTGCCGAAGGATCACATGTGCATCATTATATCGACTGGACTGCATGTGGAGTCCCTGTCCCTGCGTTGGGGATTTCTGAAGGCGTAAATAAGTCCTGTTTCCTTGGCAATCTTTATTCGTTTGCCGTTACCTTAGGCAAGCTTGTAGACAAGAACATCTGATCCATCGAAATGCAATCCCTTAAATCTTCGGTTTTGCATGAAAGTACGACAATATTACGCCATGGGCAGAAGGTCGCTTAAGGCAGCTAACTCCTGCGAATTAAATCGCAGGGCTTAAACAGAGCCCATCGAAAAGGCGAACTACTCTCAACGAATTAGAGATTGAAGTCGGCAAGTCAAGCTACGCAAAATAGGATCCTTTTGTTTCTCGCTCACTGAACGGGAAGTCCCAGTCTAGATTAGGACAAATTACCGAAGAAATCTAGCACGACAGGCCGAGATAGATACAAACTAAATCTTGACCAGGTTCTACAAGTAATTGGTGACTTCGAACTTTTCCACTTTGGGAATCCAGAGTTATCCAGTCCTTTTGAACCACTGAGAAGACTTTAGAAATATCCCGAAAAACAGTTTAATCGGCATTAAAATGATATTGGCTTGAAGCGAGAAGACCCCATCATTTAGAGATAAGTTTGGATAGTACCCTTCAGCAGAATACGGGATAATTTAATGAACAGTATGCACCCAACCGAAAAAAACACCAATTTGAGACGTGGGAAAATCTTTGCTTATTTGTTTTTTTCTGGTAGATTCGAAACATGTTTGGGTATTTCCCACAATGAACACCAAGTCACGCTGATCCCTGACTGGAAGAAGTTTGTGCTGTCGCCGTCGAGCACGGAGGATTAATGCCCTCTATGACAACTTCCCGATGTCTTCTTAATCACCTAAGAAAAACGTCGGATTTAGCAGAGCTATGCGTCTTTCTCCTGACATGGTTAGCAGGCAACTGTCACATCTTTAATTAACACCTTCATAAACAAATAAGGATCTCCCCACTCTCCGTTATACAAGCGACGGACGTGTAGGAACTGTTGAGGTCGTCAAAAATCTTTTCTGCAAGACAGTGTTCTTTGATAACAACACGCTGCTTTTAATGACCCTTTCATGCATGGCAATATTTTGGGAATATTTCTCAGTTGTGGAATACATATCCCGACTACTTGGAGACCAAATACACAAATAGAAATCGCCCTCTTGAAGTCATACTACTCCTTTTTGAGAATGAATTTCAAGGTTTTAATTAAATTTCATATACCGTTATCAGAAGGTTTACATATTCTAGTAGAGTAAATTCTGATGAATCCACATGAATTGCATGCATACCTGCATACATTTGTCATGGAGCAGGATGAAAATCCAAAATTACTTAGTATTTTAGGTTACAAATAGAATGTACAGGACTGTTTCACCAATCAAGGGTTCCCGTCAGGGAAGGTCTGCATATCGGAATAGTGGGGGATTACTTCATCGATTCAAGGTCTCATAAGGCCTTTCGACGTTTTAGTGCAATAAGTTTACTGGACATGGGTTCATTATGAACACGTATGCGCGTATATACATATATTTAGGAAGATGGAATTCTTTGGGAAACAGTGAACTTTATTGTGTACATTTTCGAGACTGGTTCCCCAGCTCGTCTTCAGACAACGGGCGTGCAAAAACAATAAACTTCTCGACCGATTCTGACAAAGAATTCTATGATTGGTTAAAGTCATCTTCTCGGGATTCGTTGAGTCAGTTCGAATCTGTCCTTGACGATATTGTGTGTGGCATCTAGATCGATATGCCGGTTGATGCATGCCTCATCTGAATGCATTGCCTCCAGGAATTTGCGGCCTTTCCTTATTGGGCAGGCGCCAACAATGAGAGTGTTTTCCCATGCAAGTTTGTACCCAGTGCCCAGTGTGTGCATGGCCACCTGGGATGGTCACGTCTCTTTACCGGCTACAGGCAATTAAAAGGTGCTCCCATGGGTTTACCCATATTCGGTTTTCTGGCAGACGCCGCACTGCAGAAATTAGAAAGCATAGTCCTTCCCACAGTTAACCCAAAACATTGGCTGCGATATATAGATGAGACTTTTGTCATCGCCAAGAAAGACCAGTTGAATCTGCTGCATATCAACATAAACTCTATATTTCCAGAACTCCCGTTTACTTTCGAAACGGAGGTTTATGGACAACTCCCATTCCTGGATGTTCTTGTACGTCGAAAAACCGATGTACCACTTCATTAATGAGATTATCGCAAAGAGGCGTATTCAGAGGTCATCCTACACGTTAGGAGTAACCATCCTGTTTCTCACAAACAGAGTACAGTCTACAGCCTTCTGAATCGAGCCAAAACCCACTGCTCTCATGAAACAAGTTATCGAGCAGAAATGAAACACCTCTACAAACTGTTCTCCCAAAATGGGTACCCGCATGACTTTATACGTCAATGCACGAGGCACCAGCAAATCAAGGGAAAAGGTATTTCTAATGCTACGGCCGCTCAGGCACCAAAACCAACCACCTGGCGAACTCTTCCATACGTGAAAAAAATATATATACAAAAAATAAATTTGTTTTGATAAACGTGTAGCATCTATAATTTGAAAAGAATGTAAAGAACTCACTCTCTGGTTCAAAGGGAGAAGACTGCCTGGATGGTCTGAATGTGGGCTTTCGAGGAGGTAGTTCAAAGTCAAGTTCCTCCGTGTCGAACTCCGAATAGTCGTCATACTCAAAGGGCTCCATACTATTTCCTGTCTAAGCCTCTAAAGGGCTCAAACTTCGCTAACCCCGACGATTGTAGGTAAGCTTCGCACAGAACTGACCGTTTATGGCTCTCGTTTGTGCGGCAGGCTCGATTTGGGACTTACAGCTGCATCTGTCAGAATGGCGTAGAATCAATGCGATGTCCCATCACTGAGCCAATGAGCTTGTGATTTGGGCAGGCTATCGGCCGACCTGGGATGTCAGTCATGCGAATAGGAGACGGCCACGCGTAGGCGGAAGGTGTGCAGATGTGCCCTGTCTCACCAATCGGAATCCACCATGTAGGACGATGCGTTTTGTGTTTACGTGCCACGGTCATCAGCTGGGAGGCAGGAAACCTGCCGAAGCCTGACGATCAGTTACGCCGGTCGTGCCAACTTCACTGGAGGAGGATACACTTGGCAAACCATGGTGGGGCGCCGGGAAATAGAATGAAGTTCAGGCTACTTTTTTGCAACAAAAATCAACAAATTGGCACAGCAGCTGTTGGTTTAAGTGGAAATGCCCCTAGATTACCTTGATTAAAAACACGACCCTCACGAAATTTTCCCTGATTTCATAGGAACTAAACCACTTTTGGATTAAGAAGATAGATCAAAAGTGCATTCCACCGACGCTGTCCTTTTTCCAGGATTTTATTTACGGGAGGGTTCATAAAGCAGTCCAGTACTCAATAAAAAACGCACACTATCATAACGTTTGGTACTTTTAGTTCAAGAATCAAAAAACTGTTCTCTGCGGACGGCATGGGATTGGTTGGAGTGCCGAAAAGTCAAACAGTCAAGTTGAAACGTTTATTAAATCAATGACGCTTTAGTGTAACACCGTGCCCTACAATTATGCTCTTATCTGACCAAGTCCCGTTGAATTCCATAACTTCCAGTTATGTTTCATAAGGGTTTGGGCTCGCCAGTAAATAGTCGATTAGAACGCCTGGAAAGCCACCTGAGTATGGCTACTAAAGGTGGTAGTTTAAAGGATGTTAACCTACGGCATTAATCAGCCGACTTCCTGATTGAGGGTCAAGCGCAGTGACCGCTTCGTAAGGTGGACTTTGCGCCACCTCTCTCCGAATAGAGATCAGAGGTCTCCTTTTGACGTCTGGTCGGTGCTTTTGTGGACCGACAGTCCGACGGTCGCAACCGACGATTTCCACCGTGTACTTCACAGCAAGGTGAAGCAGGCACACTGGTTTGCGCGAGAATTAGTTTATAGCGAGAGTGGACTTGCACAGCGTCTACCGCACTCTCCCCTCCTCCCCCCACCTGGGCCTTACGTAAACACAGTCAAGAAGACCAGAGGCGGGGGAAGGCGCAGGCGGCTGGCACTGCCCGACTCGCACCTAAGTTCATCGCAACCCCCTCCTGCTCTACAACAAACACTTGATCAGGATTTTAATCAACAAGAGTACCACAAGGGGCCAGAAAGAGGAGGGTGGCCGGACAACCATGCTCACGACCTGTATACCCAGCGGGAGCCATTCTAACAGCAGGGAACCAGGGTCCAGAGAACTGCCAGCGTACACAAGGTTGTGAGAGTCATGGCTTGCTGATCATGGCATAGCAGACGCTTACATCCCTTGAGACCCATTTATGGACCAACAGTTTCCCCTCATCGGTCACGTCCACACGCACTTCGTCATCTTAACCTCGCTCTACCATAGAAACATTAGGAATATGCCAATGGATAGGTGGATATTACACAGATCTCTGTTATTGCAAACTAACTTCATGAGCGACTCAGAATCGTGTCCTGCTGCTTCGTCGTTACTCGACCACCTGTGGGAGCTGATGACTGGGACCACAATGAAAAAGCGCATTCACCTTTATAGTCTCTCACAATCAGGATACATCAGCGAGAGTCACTCTTGATAGAAGGCCTTTAAAATTCGCAAGGGACGAAAAAATTTAAGGTGCATGGCTTAACTTTATTGCTTTCTCCAACTGCCTACTGGTCGCTTGGGTAGAACTCTGGAAGATGGACCACCGCACCAAAGGTGGCTTTGCGCTAAATTTCGTGGGGTTAGAGTTAGATTTATGAGGGGTCAGTGCAAGGGTTAAGGTTACAGTTAGGTCACGAGAATAGGTTCCCCTCGGGGAATTTAGCATAAGGTCATCTGCTGTACGATGGTCCATATTCCCATATTTGACCGTCGACTGTATGGGCTCTGACTGCATTTCAGACACTAAATGAATGTATTGTGGCCTACGAAAACTACTAAAGGTGGAGATGACGGGCGTACCAGGAACGGGAGTTCACATTGAAAGGTTCGTTTCTGCAATCAGGCGAGATAGGAGTGTCAAAGGAACAACGCTAACAACCGTCGGATAATTTGCCTAAAAGACCGAGTCATACAGAAAGCCTGTCTACGCAAACAACTGAGTAAATAAAATAACACAAGTAGAATCACGTTTGAAAATAGTCCTTTAGTGGGGTTTGCACTTAAATATCCCGTAGGAATTAGTGCAATGTTGACTAAGTCAACCGCCTATAGTTTGACTTTTAATTCCAGATAGTTCCACATAACTTTTTTGCAATTTTCTTGTTTATGCATTGTTTGAAACACGGTTTACTAGGGCAAGCAGGAATTTGATTGCCTTCGCTGATGGGGATGTCGCACGAATAGAAGTTTTTATCAAACCACATGTTGATAGGTCGGTCAGGGGCTAATAAATTTGAACAGAATTGCCAGGTGCAGTCGTAAACATGCAATTTTATGTATATTCAGAGAACTTTCACCCCGTCAAATTGCTTTACACTTTTTTCTTGTGCTAAATTAAGTTCAGTTTCAGATAGTTCTTGAAATAGTAATGAATATTTCACGGTTTTCAGTGTTTCCATTGATTTACCTATAAAGGTAGACACTTTGCTATTTATTTGCCTGTCCAAACCATCATTCCAAACATGTAACCAATGCTTACACGCAACTGCGACAGAGAAGAACAACCAGAAGCTCTTTGTACTAGGATTCGCAAAGCCTAAATTCGGACTTATAAAATAATAGGTTTTCTCCGTGCAAAGTCGTTTTTACGTTTTCCACAAGGCTTTGTTTGTCGCAGACGTCAACCCAGTGTACGGCCGAGAGCCAACGTAAGAACCAACACGCTTCATTCACTGTCTAGCTGTTAGGATATAGAGATAGTGCTTGGTGACTACATTTCCGAGATGACTATGCCGACAGTCTTTCTGTGGTCATATCCCCCCTCCTCTCGGACTACTTTTGGCGCACTTTTAATAAAACTGCTTCTTAGAGGATCAGAAGAAAAACCCGCCTTCATCAGGCAATACTTATCATATGTCTGAAGTTCGGAGGGAACTTCGAGTTGTTTTGCGTCAGAAACTGACGAACCCGCCTGTTGCTCTGACTTCCAACAGCACTGGCAGCCATGTAATGATTATTGATTCCACGAGGTTGCGTGCATCACCAGTCTGGCTTATAGTCTGGTCGTCCCTGTCTCCATGTTGGGTGGTAGGACTTGGAGTTCCAATGAGTCGCAGGCTGGACTTGCAGCTCATGTGGTATGACCATGTGCGAGGTTTTGGCACAAAACCGCTTTGGCCTTCCATAGCTCAGTATGGGGAGCGAAACAGGGAATTTGATAGCCACGACATTCGAAATTTCCTTGATGCACAGTTATTGCTTTTATCTCCGATCTCGGCAGTGCCTACGTCGAATTCCTGGCCAGTCCAAATAACATGGGCCGCTATATACTAATTCTCGTAAAAGCTCCTCCTCTGGAGTTATGACTTCAGTCTCCAACAATATTTTTGGATGCATCACTTGGCGACGTCTTATTCTGCCTGGATTCCGGGAGGCCCAAACTTCAGACAAGCCGATAATCATTTACATTCAGTATGCCTTGCGTAGCGTCCCGGAGTAATCGGTCCTGCCGTTCTAACTTAAGATAGATGCACCGTTGAGATGTCGCCCACACAATTTGAGTTTACTGCAGAATCTTACTTACATGTAGATGAACGCAAGAAGACGTGTTTTCACATGGCAATAAGGAGATAGGCACCGAACAAATGCGCATCGATACTTCCTCTAGGGGTTCAACTTCCTCCATCACAGCAATTGGTTCAGGTTGTTTATTCCAACCTTCAACATCTCGGTTATGGTTGAATCCGATCCCAACGTCAAAATTGGCGCCTTTTTTCCCTAGTATGTATCAGTGACTACGTAGGTTTGTCGTTTGCGTCATTTCCAGGATTCAGTCAAGCTGGAACGCGCAGTCCTGTGATTTCACAACTTTAGAAACCATAATGGTATCTATTCCTTCTGCAGGAGAAAAGAAATTGGAGTTTTTCTAATCCTTCCCTATAGGGTGTAAACTCTAAAAGCCTGAAGGATTTAGTCGATATTTCTTGCATGTCCTCCAGCATAGAATGTCCTTGTTTCTTGCAGGAACCCCAATCTCGAATGCAGTAATTTATGACTGACCAAACATGTGCCGCAGACTGTAGGCCGAAAAAACGACCTATATCCTTATCGCGCAGGGTGCAATTACAATCTTTATTGGTGTGCTGACACAGTTAGCAGATGATATTAGACTGGGAGTCAGTCACAACGAAGTGCGACTTGTTAACTGATCATGATTTATGACTTCCAGTGTGGCATAAACTTCAAAGGCCACAGTCTGCCTGTTACCACACTTGAGGCAAGTGATGAGGCATTTAAGGAAGTAGACGTTTGGAGGTCATTCATCACACTGGTTTTTGCAATTGCACTCTCCGGTCCTTCAGTCGCCGCGCACAATTGGAGGTCATTAGCAAGCGTTACCTTTGCCGTTTAAGTAGCAGTTCCCGTAGACTGAAAAAAACGAGACCCAGACCGGCCTGTTGCGGAATATCACTGAGAAAAGTTGTCCAATCCGACTTACCTGCACCATCAAATGCATGTGGAGATTTTTCTCTGAGAAAGTGAGTGAGCAACTGAGAGGGTTCCCATTCAAATTCACTTGGTGTATTTCTGTTACCGG